TTTAAGAAAGTGTCCCTCAAATCATACTTGAATTTTAAGAAAATAATCCCAAAATTTTTATGTCATTGCAAGAACTTAGAAGAACTTGTTTCGGATCACTTTGCTGACTTTAACCTGGATCACTCACTTATTTTACCTAAACTTCAAACTATTAGTATTAGTACTGTTTATAACATTCATTCAAAAGAATTGCAAGAATTTGAAAGGTTTTGTAATAATTACCAAAATTCTGTGCAAAAGATTATTTTTTATATTGGATATGGTTTAACCGGAAGTCAAACAAATGAATGTTTTGCAAATATATCCAAATTTAAAAGTTTGCGTGAATTGTCTATTTCTATGGGTATGAATTCTGGTGATAAGTATAACATGGATTCGTTTAATCAATATATAAATCAATTAGCGATAAATTCTCGACAACTAAAAATACTTAGAATTATATTATTTCGTGAAAGTTTTAAATCATTATTTAATTTATTTTATTCATTTCAAAATTTTAGTAATTTAGTAAAATTTGAGTTAATATTTGATCGCAATGATGCCCAAAAACTACTCTATGGTAGCGTAAAGTGCTTGAAAAATGCCAAAAATCTTAAATATTTTTTTATTAGAAAAGAATTAATTATTGAAGATTTCTTTACCGATATTGACATATATTTACCAAATTTATGTGAATTATACATTGAATGTGAGACAGAATTTAGTGATAAAACTCTTGATTATGTTTCTCGCCTCAAAAAGTTGCGAAAATTTTATTTCCAAAAATTTAATAAGAATTATAAACAAATAACTGATAAAGGTATTTGCTCATTGAATGTGAGACAGAATTTAGTGATAAAACTCTTGATTATGTTTCTCGCCTCAAAAAGTTGCGAAAATTTTATTTCCAAAAATTTAATAAGAATTATAAACAAATAACTGATAAAGGTATTTGTCAATTGATTAATTCGTGTTCAAAAATTGAGTTGATATGGTTTGGTAGTCGACCTAATATTACGGTCAAAATCATTGAGTGTCTCATAGAATGTGCCAATAAATACCCAAAAAGATTAAAGGTATTTGCCAATTGATTAATTCGTGTTCAAAAATTGAGTTCATATGGTTTCGTAGTCGACCTAATATTACGGTCAAAACCATTGAGTGTCTCATAGAATGCGTCAATAAATACCCAAAAAGAGATTTTGAATTTTATTCTGGATTTGCAAACGATGGCAATGAGAGTGAATTCCCCGCAATAGATATGACAGCATTTGTGCACAAAATACCTGCAAATCTAACTCTTAATATTCAAGAATTTGAAAACAACCTGGGTATGGCTGATTTGTTAAATTTGTAAATGATTATTATAAATAATTATGTATTACTTTATCTATATGACTTCATTGTATGATGTATTTCATTGTTTTATGCTAAAAAAATTATTATTATTATTATTATTATTTATTTCTACCTAATTAGTGTCGTCAATTATAACAGAATACGGTAATTAAAGTTAAATAACTACAGTATATTATATGAATGTAGATCACATTTTTACTAATTGAAATAAATAAATATTTTAAAATGATTTTTGTAATATTTACAAATGACTCAGTTCATATGACATAAAGTGTAAGTATCTCATTTTGTATGTTAGTTGTATAAGTTATGAAATTGCAATCATACATGTAACTTGTTTGCTATATACTTACTATTAGTGATAAGTTATATAGGTAAGTTATATAAAATACTACATTTGTATCTTCATTGACTTTACCGTTCGTTTCGTAAACGTTTGTTTATATATATATATATATATAACTTTATATATATATTAAAAATTACTCCCATTTATTAGTCACTTATTTTAGCAACATTCAAAATTATTAGGTGTTAACAAATTATTATAATAAGAGTTTTGACTCAAAACTTTTTAGAGATTAAGAATAAAGGTTGAATGTTGAAACTTATGTTGAATGTAATTATTAAGGTCAATGAGACTAGTTTTAAAGATAGCTACTAATGTACTTGTAATTAGATTTAAAGGATTATTATTTATAAATTATACAAAATAAGAAAAGTTTAGTTGCCTTGTTTTATATTCAACAGATCTTTGATTTTTATGATATCAAATTAAATAATACAACTTTTATGCCTGGGTTAACAATTAAATCGATTTTTAATATTATTATTTCATAGATATTTAGAAACTTCAAAGACCTTTAGTTCAGCATTCAATTTTCTATGTACTGTATTGAATGCTACATGTACATTGTCTTGTATTTAATCATTATACTGTATATGAAATTGCAATCATACATGTAACTTGTTTGCTATATACTTACTAAAGTAAGTTATATAAAATACTACATTTGTATCTTAATTCACTTTACCGTTCGTTTCGTAAACGTTTGTTTATATATATATTAAAAACTACTCCCATTTATTAGTCACTTATTTTAGCAACATTCAAAATTATTAGGTGTTCAAAAATTATTATAATAAAAGTTTTGAGAGATTAAGAATAAAGGTTTTTAAACTATTCAAAAGTGTAAATTAACCTGTATAGTATTAATACACTAAGTTAAATAAGTTTGGTTTAATCCTATTTATATAACAAAAGTTTGAATTTTTAAATCTTTATTGAGTGTATTACGAAGAATAAGTAAATAATGTCTAATAATTGTGTTTTATATGAATTTAATCGTTTGAGTCGTAAATCACTTACGAAGGAGTCGTTCAATAGATTTGACGACAATTTGTTTGAAAACATATTATCGTATTTGCCATTCAGTGATAAAGTTATGTTTGAATGCGTGTCTAAACGGTTCCAGAAGTTTGTATTCACTAAACAACTCATACTCTCATTAAACCGATGGGAACCTGAAGATCACAACACTTTGAATAAACTGTTGAAACCCATAGTAATCAGGGATTACACGACTGCCATCGCTGCCAACCAACAGATGTATAAACGTATTGATAAGCGATCGCTGAAAACATTATTATTAAAATGCAAATCAATTGAATGCTTAAAATTAGACTGTCTTATAGACAAAATAGATTTGAATTTATTTGGTAAATACTGCCATAATTTAAAAGACATTACATTCACACCATTCGGTTTGAATGCTCAAGAATTGGATGAATTTGGACATACATTTGGACATTTAATTAGAAAATTATCGCTCAGTACATACTATCACAGTAAGAAAATATCTGTAAATTATATAACTCATTGCAAAAATTTAGAAGAATTGGTTGAACCAAGTTTTGCTGATTTTAACCTGGATCACTCATATATGTTATCTCAACTTACAACTGTTCAAAGTTATAATATTATACCAGATGAATTACAAAATCTTGAGAAGTTTTGCGATAAATATGAGAATTCAATAAAAAAGATTAACTTTTACATTGGACATGAATTTAGTGAAAGTCAAACAAACGAGTGCTTTGCAAATATATGTAAATTTAAAAATCTTGATCAATTATCCATTTATACGGATTGTTTATATGGAAATTATAATCTGGATTTGATTATTGATTGTTTGAGTGAATTGTCGAGAAATAGTCCACAACTTAAATATCTTAACATTAGAAGTTATTCAGAAAATTTTAAATCATTGTTTAATTTATTTTACACATTTGAAAACTTTACTAATTTAGTAAAATTTGAGTTAACATTTTATACCAACAGTGATAGAAAACTACTCTATGGAAACATAAAATGCTTGCAAAATGCAAAAAATCTTAAATATCTGCATATATGTAATGATTTAATTATTGAAGACTTCTTCGCCGATATTGACATTTATTTACCAAATTTATGTGAATTATTCATTGAATGCGAGTCTGAATTTAGTGATAAAACTATTCATTATGTTTCTCGGCTTAAAAAATTACGAAGATTTCATTTCCAAAGATATCTTAAAAATAATAAATTAATAACCGATGAAAGTATTTGTCAATTAATTAATATGTGTCCTAAGATTCAGTATATAACTTTTGGCACTCGACCTAATATTACCACAAAAACCATTGAATGTCTCATTAAATGCGCCAATAATTACCCAAAAAGAAAGTTTGAGTTTTATTCTGGAGTTTCAAACGATGGCAATGAAAGTGAATTTCCGGTCATTGATATGATTTCATTTGTGGACAAAATACCTGAAAACCTATTAATAACTATTGAAGGATTTGATGACAACCTTGATAATGGAGATTAAAACTATTTCTTACTTATTTATTATTATAATCAATGAATCAATTGTTCATTCATAAAAAATACTAAAAACAAATTATTTTCTAATTAAATATTATACACAAAAACTGAAAATTTATTTGTTATATATATATTTTAAATAAATAAATATAAATGATACATTAAAATAGTTACAATTATGTTAAGTTTTATTTATCGTTGAAAATAAATATGAATATTTAAAAAAGTAAATCAAAAGTTATATAAAAGTAGTATTAGAATAAAATCAATCGGGTAATTGATTTGGGTTTAACTTTTATACAAATTAAAAAATTTATAATTAATATAAATAATATACAATTAATGTATAAATATTGTCATTCTTAACCAGAATATTAGAGAAAAAGTCTTCAAATAAAATTAAAATGCATTCATAAGTCAAAAAATGCATTGAATTAAAAAATCAAAAATACATTATTATTACAATAATAATAAAAACAGTAATTTTAACGTTTGAATAATCACTCAAATCAGTTAAAAAATAAGTTAGTTATACTAAACACAGATAATCAGGTATATAATCAGTATAGAGTATGATTTAATTAATAGTCTTATAATAAAAAAATGCAAAATAAATATTTCAAACGCCGTTCAAAATCAATGGCTTGTATTGTTTGAAGAGAAGTGAATTAAAAAGCGAATCCTTTCTGTTGATGAGCTCTTTGGGTGAACCGACTTCACTGATCACTCCCTTATCGACGACAATAATCTTATCGTAATTCAGTATATTTGACAACTTGTGGGCGATTGAAATAACAGTTTTGTTAGTCTTCTTAATCAGATCCAGGATTAGTTGTTCGGACTCCTCGTCCAGCGAAGAGGTCGACTCATCCATTATAAGTACGGCTGAGTCGCGGAGTAGAGCCCGAGCGATGCACAGCATCTGCCGCTGACCGGCGCTTAGGTTCAGACCCTCTTCGGTGATGTACTCATCCAGCGATGAGATACTGCTATTCAGATTCAATTCACTCAATACGCCTCTAATCTTGTCGTCTGAGATCTCTTTGTTTGGATCCAAGTTCTCGCTATTTATCACACAATTAGTTAGACTTAGTATTGGATTTCCTGTTTCATTGCTAATGCTTACCGAATGGTTCCTGAAAAGAGGACCACATCCTGAGGAATGACCGATAGTTTGCTGCGAAGTAAATGAGTAGATATTTTGGTGATGTCTTTGCCGTCGATAAGTATTTTTCCGTTTGTGATGTGATTTAAGCGAAACATTGCGTTCACGAGCGATGATTTGCCACAACCCGTGCGCCCACAGATCCCCACCTAAACAACCGGTCAATGAATTTATTTCAATTAAATATGATATCAATTAGTCTTAAAACAGACCTTTTCTCCCGGTTTGACACTAAAATTGGCCCCTTTTATGACGATATCTTCATTGGACTCGTATTTAAGGCTAAGATCAATGAATTTTATTTCACCCCTTTGTGGCCACTTTTCGTCCGTTACTACAGAATTAAATAATAATTGAATTATTTATTAGCATTATTAGAGAGGTTTTGGGTTTTTAAAAATGAGTCTCACTGTCGAGAATTGAGTCTAAGCTCTGGTCTTCAGTCTCCAAATGTGAGAATTCTCGCACTCTTTCCACAGAATTCATATACATCTCAAGTGACGCCAAATTCCTGACCACCCAATTGAGATATATGGGCACCAGTAGTGTGTATGTCATCGCCATTCCCACATAAGCCGGGTTCATGTTTAAATGAATAGCAGCCCAAACAGATGTAATGGTCGCGCAAAACAATATAACTCCTCCTAAATAATCTAATGCAATACCTGTGCAACAAAAAAGTTAATTAATAATCATGTTTATGTATTATCAGCACAAACAGGTCATACCTAACCAACAGTTGGCTGAGTTAACCATCAAAAAGCATATGTTATTGATGTCCAACAGTTCGTAGATCTTATCCGTGAAATTGATTTCCTCGTTAAACGCCCGCAGAGTAGTCAACCCATCGATGGTTTGACTGTAGAGCGAAAATATCGGCGATTTTGTGATTGAATCCAAACGCTGTAACTCTCGTGAAGTGAATCGGAAAAAGTGTTGAACGAAGTAATAGACAATCAAAATGGGAACGATAGCTATGGCGAAGTACGGGGTGATTATGATGTCCACAATTATGGCCGACACGCACAGGAAAATGAAGCGAAGCAGCACCGGGAGGGCTATCGGGAGTTTCTGTTCAGATAAGTAAAAGGAAATTGATTTTAATGTAAAAGATTTCACAAAATTCTTATAAAGTGTATATTTATTCCTCTAATACCTTATCAATAGTATTCATATCAATGGAGAATCTGTTGATAATTCTTCCAAAGGGCGTGACATCAAAGAACCGAAGCGGACACTGAATGATATTCTCTAACATTTGTGAGTGAAGTAGTCTTACGGCGCGAAGTGATGTCAGTTGTGATAATAGGTTAGAGACCAATGATATGATTATTGTGATCAATGATAGGATGGCATAGCCTTTGATATAGTATTCAAGTTTGTGATTATCGTTGGTGAGCGAGACGTCAGACTTAGACCACTGGGCTAACCAGAAATCGGACGCAACTTTGAAGCCTTGCGTTGAAATGATTAGCACCAGACATGTGAACGACAGGATAAGGGAACACCTCTTGAAGTACGAGAAGTAGACTTTCCTCGATATGGATCCGGTCTCTCGTTTCTCATCGCTTATGAGCTTAAAGGCTGCGAAACTGGCTGTCCTCTCGTGTTTCTATTGGCGACAAACATATCATTAATATAATCATCACTTCATGTCTAATATGCTGTCCATTGAGTACCTCTCGTCGCAACGTCTCGAAGAGGTCGTCATCCAGTGGTGGAGGGGTTTCGTCATCGGAATCCTCTTTCGGGCGATTTTTTCTGCGGTATTGAATCTCTTCCTCCTCTTCTTCTTCCTCCTCCTCATCGACCTCTCGGATCGAGTTGTTAGTGAAGGAGACGCCAGAAGTTCTTGAGTTGAGTCGAGACATTGTGGGCCTACTGGCGACGAAGAATGGCGTCGACTCAGCACTTGTGGACAGAAGCGATGAATTGATGGACGACTTGGAGTCAACGGATTCCGAGTCAATTGAATTCATACGATTTCGGAACGGAATTAATGGTCGATTAGACACCGATTCCTCGGTGTGTGAGCCCACGATAGGCTCGTCGTTGTCCGTCCAGTCATGACAGGGCAGAGGGTTTGACGGGTCGTGACTTAATTGCCTAAATAATCATTACAAACAAATTATTATAATTTTAAAACATGAATAACTTTATAACAAAAAGTTTCAGCCGACGTGCAAATACCTATTGAACGAGACCTGTCTCCTTTTGGGCTTAGGTATGCCAATGGGCATAGAGTTGCGACAACTGGCCTGGATCTTATTGGACGACAGCATCCTCACCAACGACTTCCTCTCTTTCGTGGTTTTGCACTCTTCTATCGTCGCCTTTCGTCTCATCTCTTCCTCTTTGTTGCGGACTTTAGCCCAAAATGCGGTCAAATTTGGGTCCGCCTTCTCGATGTCGCTGTAAGTGCCCGAGTGTTTGATAGATCCCGACTCCACTACTATTATGTTATGTGCTTTCGGCACATATTCCAGTTTATTGGTCACCAGAATCACTGTCCGCTTCTCCTGCGCCTGTTTCTGACAATTGAGTCACACATTAGTTGGGATTCAAGAATATTCTGGATATAACTTAGTAATTGATTTAATTATATAACAAAAACTTACTTTTATAGCAAAATCAAACACATGATTGCCTACAATGGGGTCCAAAGCGGAAAGGGTGTCGTCCAGTATGAGTGTATTGGCGTACGAATATATAGCCCGCGCCAACGCTATCCTATCCTTCTGGCCGCCGGACAAATTGAGACCCCGTTCCCCTATTTCAGTCATATCCCTATTGGGAAGTATATTGATGTCTGTCTGAAGAGCACAGGCTTTAATCACTTTATCGTATCGCTTCTGTACGAAAGATGAGCCAAAAATGATGTTCTCGTGAAGTGTGGTGTTTATGAGCCATGGATTCTGACCGACATAACCGACAAATGTGTTGGACTGACACCAATTCACGTCACCCTTCAGTTTAATCATTTCGCCCATAAGAGCGGCCAATAGGGATGACTTTCCACTGCCCACCGAACCCACAATGATTGTCAGCTTATCCTTAGGTATCGAGACGTTGATGTTCTTAAGCACCGGCACCTCCTCCCCGTCCATACTCCAGGCAAATGTGCCATTCGTTATACGACAGCAAATATCATCGGAACCGCACATAGAGTTAGAGCTGACTTTCTTAGAGACTCGTGATTTCGAGGGTATGACCGGCGGGAAGGCATTGCCATCGAAACTGGATTTGGTCTCATTTTTGACATAATATTCTTCATTAAGCAGATCTCTGTTACGATTTTGTAAAGTTGTTGTTTTGGTTCTCCACGGGATGTTTGGGTCCACCTCTGGAAGTGATAGAAATTTGGCCAATCGTTTTGTGCTCACTATTGCACTGATCATTATTGGGATCACCTTTTAAAGTAATGTATTTTTAGAAATATATTTTTGTATTCATTTAGCCAAAACTTACAACTGGTATAATATAGAGGGGAACAGTTAACTGGTTAAACAGCGCCAGACCCGTAAACACATGACCCGCCGTTAATGATTTGCCCTCAATGTAGGGATAAATAGCAAATGTGACCAGGGTTACCACTATTGATGAGCCCTGAGTGATAAAAGCTATTAAAAGTGATAAAATATAAGTATATAAAATAAACATGTACTTGTTAAGAATAATTTTGATATTTAATTTAAAATATTCTTACTATTGAGGGCCACATAAATGGCATCTTTCTTAAGAACTTTGAGCTCCTTTTCCCTGATCTTATTGACCCACTGAGCAAATGTCAACTCCCAGCCCAATAACTTCAGGAATTTGATAGACATGAAGAGTTCTGTTGTTTTTCGCATCCGTTCATCCGATAAATCCTATCGATTTGGGTGCAAATCGGTTCAGAATAAGGATTTTGATTAATAAAAATTTGTTTTAGATTAAATGTTTTATCTTTTAAGATCATTTATATTGCAGAATAAAAGTGAAAAACTAATTTATCGACAAATATGTTAACCGCATATCAATGAAAAAGTTTGATATGAATAACAGAATATCGAGATTATTCTTATATAATACACGATATACTGCATTGTGTGGTAATAACATTATATGTATGTGGTTTTATTAGTCATATAACAATGATTTACTATTTTGTTATAATTAATTTATTTTTATAATAAATAGTCGAAAGGGAATACCATTTCTTGTTCTTGTATTTTGGAGAGACTGCTCGATAGGTAGTACTGAAGTGGCGCTAATATAAAGATAGTGGACGCGCCTATCATCGCACTGTAACCCAAATAACTGTACATGAAATACAGGATTAACATTATCTGCAAAAAATAAAAATCCATTTTCTATTACTTTAACAAATAGAAACAATTGTGTTTTAAATAGACAATTATAACGAATTAGTCACAAAATACATATTTATTTTATTTTAATCAATTGCGATGACTTGCACTTAATTATATGATCGCTTAATTAAAAAAATATTTATTCAAATAATTTATTTAAGATAATTCATGATTGACACTGAAATATGTTTTTTGGGTTTTTAAGTAATATGTGTTTGGTTTACCTTCAATGGGACGGCCCATAAGTAGTGGCCCATTGATAGAAGCTATGGTATAATGAAATACAAATACAAATTAATTGTGTGTTCAATAAAATGGGAACAAATGACTTGATAATACCATAAACATATTGTATGTGTCAATAGACATATGATTAACGGTAGATCCGATATCAGTGCCCGATTGCACTGTCATTCTCAGCGACTTATCGTATACGAGACACTAAAATACAAAAAGTTGATAAAAACATATTAATATAAATTTACGAAGCATTTCATTAAATAATAGCATAAAAACTTATATTTAATACTAAACTAAATATAATAAAAATTCATTTTCATGTTTATTTATATACACTTACGAAGTGTTTAAACAAACATTAAATGTGATCACATTTTTCGGTTCAATGATACCGTATATGATAGACACTTACATTGAGAGCCGTTTTCAGATGTATGCCCTCGGAGTTCACCAAATGATTGAAATTGTTTGAAAACGTCGACTGCAATAGTGTGGCCAAGAGTACGATAAACGCTATGATATAGCCATTGGTCAAGAATTGAGACCATTTCAGGCAATAGTAGTCCAACTCAAGGGTTTCCGATATATTGTTAGCATTTTTTGTTTGAGTATCGTTTACGTAACGGATTATGTAATCAATAGATAGGGGACCGAAAAGGCCGAACAGGTCGGCGCCGATTTTGATGACAGCACCGGCAGCTAATGAGCTCCAGTAGGTTTTCCAGTAGCAAACCCATAGTTGAGCCGGGGTACAAATCTGATTCTGTCATAGAGTTAAAGATCACTAATTATCATTTTGTTTTGTATTTTCTCACAAGTATTATCTCATAATTAGTTAAACATAATAATACAATAACTGAGTACTGTATCATAATTAGGGAAAACTAATAAATATGATAATATGTGATAAAAGTATGTAATGCAGATTTATAGCATAATAAAGTGGCAAGTTGGTAATACCAACTTGGTATAATTTAAATAAATGTTTTGTTGCTAACCTTCCTTTGAGGCAATGATTTAATAAATCTTATGAATTGATATTCAGACGTCTCATTCTGCAGATTTAAAATAATTAAATTAATTTACTTTGATTTTATAATTTAATTAAACTAATTGTGTCACATTAGGCAGTTGTCCAAGGTCGTTTAACTCGAGTGGTCGACTGTAACCCTTTTTAAGTATCGGCAGAAACCAACTAAATGTGGCCTTAGATATAAGTGAGCTATAGTTTCGCAGATATTTGATTTCATTTGTCTGATGTTGAATGGGATCAGTGGTGTGGATGTGGTCCTCGAGTTCAATAGTTGGTCCATATTCTGGTACTTTCGAGAACTAGAGTTTTAATTAATGATTCAATAAATTAATACAATTTTCGTTGATAAGTTTGGTACAGTATCAGCAAATTTTTATGATTATATTGATTTCGTAAATTACTTAAAACTATTGAAACTACCTTTAGTTCAGTTAACTATTCATTTAATCTCATATTTTGTAATAACTCTGACGAAGGCTCCGTTTAGGACCGAAAGTACTCGAGTATTAAGATCTAATAAATAGCATTAAATCATCACTAAGTTTAAAGAGTTATTTAATATCATATTTAATTTACTTTAAGTTTTTTTTAACAATATTAATATACTTGTATTTATAATAAACAATTATACCATAATGTATACTGTATTTTTTAAATCAGTACAAAGTTTGTATTCTAAAATTATACTATTTTTATTATGTGTCCTATTAATACATAATTTAAAAGATAAAAATATTTTGCAATGAATATTTGAGATCTCTTGATGTTTATAAGTAAAATCGGAAATACATTTAGTTTTCGAGAATAAATAACAGGAAAAGATGAGCAATGTTTTGGCAATTTGTGGTTCACTTATAAAAGGCATCTTTTTTCAGCAAAAACGACATTTTTGGCAAATTTTGACGAAACGCATACCAAAACTGGTACTTAAGACACCATAAAATTGAATAATGTTTTCCTATAATTAGTTTTTGTGTAAATATTGGGCTTACGATTAGTTATACGACAAAATTTTTCGCCCAATATTTCTGGTGTTTATTTTATTTAGTGAATAGAAAAGCAAATTCTTGC